GCTGGTGTCCATTAGCAGTTAACATACCTTTAGCGGGGGACAGAGACAGGCTGGAGTTGAAGCTGGACACTGAGGACGAGGATGAGGATGTGTTCTTCCTGTCTGTCACCCTCCTGTTCTGAAGGGATAGAGCCTTCACCCCCGACACATTCCTCACAACACTCTGACAGGGGGAAAAAATAAATAAATCAATTATTTCCAAGCCATGTCAAGATGTCTCATAATATGCCTAAGCAGGGACAGGGTTTGATAGTATTTTATAAGATCTGAATCTGCTTATTCAGTCTGTATAAGTAGCTTGTTTGGTGGTGAATGAAAATTTCTGTTATTAAAACATGCTATAACAAAAGATAAAACTTTAGCCAAAAATCTGTATTAGCTTCTTCTCACAGTTTGTTACTTATTCTACCAGTTATACATCACACTGCCAATGAAAGACACTACAGTAATTACTATCAAACCTAAATCATGGACACTGCTCAGCTGAAGGGTCATAGGGCTTTCACCACATATTTTAGCATTGCCTGGAGACATGTTTTGTGCACAGACCACACATCCAACTTATCAAAAATGCCACAAGGTCTTATTTTAACAAACCCAAGTATTTTAACAAGTTGAAGCTGAACCAAAACAGAACTAGCTCCCATCCTTAATACATGATCAAATTCAATGAGTGTTAAGCTGCAGTGACTGATTTTGTCCAACAGATGGTGCCGTTTCACAGTGAACGCTCCAAATCACATCAATGCTACAAAGAACAGGTGTGTTACCTTCGTGGGTGGAGCCAGAGTGCGTTTTCCCATCAAGCTGGAGTTGAGGGAGGAATCGCTGATGTCAGAGGCCACACTCGTTGAATCAGAGAGCAGATCCTCATACGACTCTGCCCTGCTGGAAAGTCGAGAGGCTGGGCTCCGCTTCCAACTTCCCACGTCCTGAAAGATGAAACAAAAGAGCCGTGAAGTGACATCAATATATTTACAATCATCTCTGAAGACTGGGGAAACTGTTGACCCTGCACTATGCTAACAGCAGAGACAGGGAAATTGCACCATCCCTGCTGGACCAATATGTGTAAAAGATGAGAGGTGGCTTGGGAGGTGTAAATGTGCAAGACCAGTAAAATCACATCAACTCAGTACTCGATTCCCCCGCTACTGTTTTGAAAGCAACACCGATTTGTGTTTCTGAGATGTTTTACGTAACAGGTCTCTACTAGTGGGAGCCGTCTTCGTTTGTTTCAATTTTAGTTTGAATATCTGGAGCCCAGAAATTGCCATTCAGGACAGCCCTATAGTCAGAATGAAGGGTCAATTTAATAGCAGCATACTCTTAAAGACCTTAATTTCCACTATTCTCTCTAAGATCTGGTTCCATTTTTCATGAGAAATACCAGTGGGATCCCAGGATTTGTAGAAGGCATGCACCAAATAACTGGTAACCTTATTAATGCTATCTCACACCCAAGCTGAATAACTATTTACACTTTGGCATTTAAAATTCAGCTTCATTTATGATGAGTAATCCTGAGAAAATCACAGGGAAACCCTCAGCCCTACAGATCATATTGATCTGCTGCTACAGGCTGACAATCCTGTCATTATTCTGTGTTTTATAGCCTGAAGGTTTCACCTGTGAAGTGAAAAGTTAAAAAAAAAAAAAACTTTAATCATACTTTGCTCAGTGGTTGCAGGGGTTGCAGTCTGGTTTTCTCCACTTTGCTTTTGCTGGCTGAAATGGAAGATGCCAGAACAGCAGGTTTGCTCGGCAACACAACACCAACACCCAAAGCAGCTTTTCCTCGCAGCACCGCCCTGGGTGGAGCCTTGGCCCCGGCCACAGGGCTGGAGGTGCTGAGTCTGGCACCGGGGCGGGTGGAGGAAGGCACATTGGTGGCACTGGGGTGGGTGGAGGAAGCTGTATTGGCGCCTCTTCCTTTCAGCAGGCGGTGCTGAATAGCAGGTGGCAGCTGCTTCATGGGGCTGTCCTGCACACAAAAAGTCTGCCGTTTGATCGGGCTGAGTGTAAAGGCGGGCTGACAGAACACAGCCAGTTTAGTCTCTGTGTCCTGGATGAACTCCTTATTGGGCATGGTGGTTGCAGTCCCATCGTCGTCACTGTGCAGCTGGCTCAGCTCGCCACTCTGCAGCTGGGTGGCTAGTCTGAGGGCTTCCTGACACACAGCCTCCAGCTGATCGCTGCTCAGCGGGCTCCAGCTCGGTCGCATACCATCACCACCCTCTTCAATCTGGGACTCCAAGTTAGCAGCAGCACGCCTCTCAGTATAATCAATTGGACCTGCAAACACCTCATCATCTTCTTCACTTTTGGAGCTGCAGAGCAGAGAAACATATCAAGGCTGAGAGGAACGCTAGCAGTTCAATGCAGTGTTGAATAAAACAAAAATGAAACTCAGACCTGAACACTCAGAAAGGATCAAACACCAAATCAAAAAGAAAAATGATCACATCTCAGTTTTTGAGAAAAAAAATCTGTTACACTAAGCAAAAGAACAAGAACAGTAGGTAAACCTCTAATCTTTTTATCACAAGGTCCTACATTTAATTCTTCCATTTTATCCAGTATCAGTAACTGAACAGGAGATTTCTCCATTTGGACCATTTGGTTTTGGACAAACTGTGGAAAATTATAGTGGTCATTTTTCTCTGTTTTATAGTGCAACCTGACTATTAAAGGTGTTTAGACTATCATAATAAATCTGACAGTCTCCTTGGGGTCTGATAACCTGTGATGGCCACTTTTGCTATCTAACATTCAACTGATGGATTAATTGAAATCATAAGCAGATGAATCAATAATTAAAATCAATTTCATTTGTCCCAACATGGCCAGTGGAAATAAAATAATTTTGGTGGTAAGGAAAACTTAAGGAGCCTGTTGCTTTCACTTGATTATCCCATATGAAGGATCGCTAGCAGTTTTTAATAATAAAAAGTATGAGTATTGGTAATTCTATCCCCAATAATACTTTAGTGAGGTGAGCAGAAATCGTCATGCGCTTCCTACCAGTCAGGTGACATGGGAACATCGAAGTCAAATTTCTCATCAGACAGAAAGAACACATCTGTTCAGAGACACAAACAGCAGTCAATAGAATGTAAACATGTCGTTAGCCGTATATAAAAGCCGAATCAGAACCCGTCGGTAGTAACCTACCGCTGTTAGTTCGACAGTTCATCCTGCTGTTGGTTCTTCCTATTGGGGAAACAAATCAGACCTGCAGTGTTATATTCAACTCTGACATTAAACCATAAAAAATATTTTACACAGACAACTGAAAGCCTGAATTTAAACAAGAATCTTCATGCTAACTTTAACGTTAGCCCGTTAGCTCTCCAACTAAATCAAACGGTAAATCATATGAACTTTATACACTGAATTTAAACGGACTCTTCTCCAACGGACTCCTACGAAGTTAACGTTTAATTCCAGTAATAATTACAAACCTCTAGCTCCTCTGAAAGCTCACAAAACGTCTCTATTACTGCACATTCAAACTGTAACACGAAAGCACACCTCACAAATAATTCAAATCTGCTGCGTTGCTGGTCACATGACTCAGAGGGACTCGGCAATTGGTTAGAATTGTATGACAAGAAATGAGCGGAATTATGGGGAGTGTAGTCCACATAACTAAAACCGGTTTCTGGGGTTCAATGTTAAAAAATAGTTTCGATAACATAACTAAAAAAATAACTTTCAAGTGAGCATAGAAAAAATACACAAAATATACAACAATATATAGATATATATGCTGCAGAATCTCGTTGATTTTTATCAATAAGATGAAAATGTTGACCAAAAACTATATTTACATGTGGTTAGTAAAATATGAACTTTTAGAGTTTGTGGTTGATTTTCCTTTTTTTTTCTAAAGTTTAGCAAATGAAGAAAATGATTCGAAGACAAGAGTAGAAAGAAAAAGAAGGGAAGTAGTAAGATATAGAAAAAGGAACCATGATTAACCAACAGGATTGTCAATTTTATACTTGAAAAAATTAAGTTTGTATTAATGTAAATAAATTCATTTATTTTATAGTTAAAACAATTAAAATAATGAATATATGACAGTTAAAAGTAATAGATGCATTGTTGAAAAAATGGTTGAAGCAGGTCAAAATAATGGATAAAGGGAAAAAAAAAAACTAAACACAGTATAAACAGTAAATGCAATGGATTAATGGCTGAAATAGTTTGATAAAAGTAATTTTAAAAAATGTGTCAAATATTAATGGAAAACTGGCTGCAGTAGTAATAGATAAATGGTTGAACTGTCCAGCTTGTTTCTTCTGGTGGTTTGTTCAGGTCTGATCACCTGTATCAGTGAGTTTGCACAACAGTGAGGAGCTGATGGAGTCAAACTCAATGAGAAAACAATCACTGCAGAAGGTGATGGAGTTTACATTTTACCTGTGGAGCTATGGAACAGACAGACACTCATTAATGGAGGTAAAGTAACTGGTTGAACTGGGAAGTTTTATGTGTCCAGTTTCAGTGAAGCAGGAAATTATTTTTTTTTTCTTGGAAAATTTATTTCTTGGAAAATTTAAAAAATAGTTAAAATATAGCTTTGTTTTGTAAAACCTTGACTCGACACTCATAATACAGCTTTTTCTAAAGAAATCTGCCTTTTCTCATCAAATTTTACTTTTAAAATGTTTTAAACTCATTTTTTGTGGCATTTTCTTCAAATATTCAATATTTAAACTTTTTCATAATGTAACCTTCTTATAGACTTACAACCATTTCCTTGAAAGCTTCCATTTCCCACTTTTAATATGAAGCTGTGTCACAAACACCCTCTGGAAGATTTTTTTTTTTTTTTAAATCTAATATCATTATAATAAGAAACTAAAACCTTTATTTGTATTTATTTTACAAAAATACTAGAACAAACTCCAACATTAGACACCAAGTTTAAACATTTGTCTACAAACAGATTTTATGAAAGACCAACACCCACCCCCTCCCAGAAGCTGAATGACTAAACATTTCAGTCACAGATTCTCAAGTTAAAGCTAGTTTTGTGTCAAGGTTTAACTTGTCAGCATGAGCTCGTCTGCTGAAGATTAAAATGAGCCCTGACTACATCTGAACATCAACAATCTGAATATTTACAGACCAGAAACTGATTAAGGGCGAATAAACAACAACTGCAGGGTTCTTTAAAGTACAGAAGAAAACAATCTGTGTGAACCTGTTTTCACACATGTGGATATGTTTCTGCTTCCTGGATCTTAAAAACCAGGAGGTGAACTCCTAACAAGAACCAATCAGATGAGTCTGTTTCAACGTTATTTTATTCTTCTGCTCTCAGAGCCAGAGCTCTCTCCATAACAAACACAGTACAAAGAGAACAGACCACTGTAACTAGAAGTAGTCGGGTCTGGGGACAGGGCTTCACAGTGAGGTCTCCAGGCTATGCAGGGGGCTGCCTGGACACAACAGCAGCCCTGCTGAGTTGGGCGGGGTCAGACCAGACCTGGAGGTGTCCTTATGCAGTGGGACGATGCGATCTGTGGCGTTATTGTTCTGGTTGGGTGAAGACAGGGATGGCGGCAGTTCAGTCTGCGGTGGTGGATCGATGGAGTTGCGTTTGGTGGGAGAATCATCCTCGCCCTCTGTGTCATCGATCAGGGGGATCTGAGGCTCAGAGTCCTCAAATTGGAACTCAGGGTGGGTCATGAAGTTGTGGATGGAGCTGCGAGACTCGGGCGTCTCCAAACCTTGATAGGGAGACACGCAGTCTCTGAAGGCTTTTACCACCCGGATCTGCGAGACAAGAGGACATGGTCAGTTCAGAGTTTAACAGTGGAGCCAAGTGTATCAAGAAAAGTTAAAGGAAAATTCTATTGTTTCTACCTGGGTCTCAACTGACCATTCTGACTATGGATCATAATAATAGCTCACTTTATTACCAAGGCATATCAACAGACCTCAGTTTTACAGAAATAATTTCAAACATTTGCCACCGAGACCAAGGAGAAGTAAACAGAAGTCAGCTTCCTGGATTAGCTACTGTAACTAAATGCATAGAGAATGGCTCTAGAGAAACCACCAGCTTGTTAACTGAAGAGCTGTCGACACAATTATTATACACTGCTCAAAAAAATAAAAAGGGAACACTTAAACAACACAATGTAACTCCAAGTCAATCACACTTCTGTGAAATCAAACTGTCCACTTAGGTAGCAACACTGATTGACAATCAATCATGCTGTTGTGCAAATGGAATAGACAGCAGGTGGAAAGCATAGGCAGTTAGCAAGACATCCCCAATAAAGGAGTGGTTCTGCAGGTGGTGACCACAGACCACTTCTCAGTTCCTATGCTTTCTGGCTGATGGTTTGGTCACTTTTGAATGCTGGCGGTGCTTTCACTCTAGTGGTAGCATGAGACGGAGTCTACAACCCACACAAGTGGCTCAGGTAGTGCAGCTCATCCAGGATGGCACATCAATGCGAGCTGTGGCAAGAAGGTTTGCTGTGTCTGTCAGCGTAGTGTCCAGAGCATGGAGGCGCTACCAGGAGACAGGCCAGTACATCAGGAGATGTGGAGGAGGCCGTAGGAGGGCAACAACCCAGTATCAGGACCGCTACCTCCACCTTTGTGCAAGGAGGGACAGGAGGAGCACTGCCAGAGCCCTGCAAAATGACCTCCAGCGGGCCACAATTTAGCATGTGTCTGCTCAAACGCTCAAAAACAGACTCCATGAGGGTGGTATGAGGGCCCGACGTCCCCAGGTGGGGGTTGTGCTTACAGCCCAACACCGTGCAACAAGTTTGGCATTTGCCAGAGAAGACCAAGATTGGCAAATCCGCCACTGGCGCCCTGTGCTCTTCACAGATGAAAGCAGGTTCACACTGAGCACATGTGACAGACGTGACAGGGTCTGGAGACGCCGTGGAGAATGTTTTGCTGCCTGCAACATCCTCCAGCATGACTGGTTTGGCAGTGGGTCAGTAATGGTGTGGGGAGGCATTTCTTTAGGGGGCCGCACAGCCCTCCATGTGCTCACCAGAGGTAGCCTGACTGCCATTAGGTACCGAGATGAGATCCTCAGACCCCTTGTGAGACCATATGCTGATGCGGTTGGCCCTGGGTTCCTCCTAATGCAAGACAATGCTAGACCTCATGTGGCTGGAGTGTGTCAGCAGTTCCTGCAAGACGAAGGCATTGATGCTATGGATTGGCCTGCCCGTTCCCCAGACCTCAATCCAATTGAGCACATCTGGGACATCATGTCTCGCTCCATCCACCAACGCCACGTTGCCCCACAGACTGTCCAGGAGTTGGGGGATGCTTTAGTCCAGGTGTGGGAGGAGATCCCTCAGGAGACCATCCGCCACCTCATCAGGAGCATGCCCAGGCGTTGTAGGGAGGTCATACGGGCACGTGGAGGCCACACACACTACTGAACCTCATTTTGACTTGTTTTGAGGACATTACATCAAAGTTGGATCAGCCTGTAGTGTTGTTTTCCACTTTAATTTTGGGTGTCACTCCAGATCCAGACCTCCATGGGTTGCTAAATTTGATTTCCATTGATAATTTCTGTGTGATTTTGTTGTCAGCACATACAACTATGCATATAACAAGGTATTTAATAAGAATATTTCATTCATTTAGATCTAGGATGTCTTATTTTTGTGTTCCCTTTATTCTTTTGAGCAGTGTAGAAATGTTTGTAAAGGTTGTAGCTGCTCTGTAGAAGTGCTTATCGCTGTTGTTTAACACACACAGAGCTGACTCTTCTGTTCTTTCAGGTGCAGCTTCCAGCACAACAATGTTGATCAGAGCATCAGCTGGTATCACTCTGGTCTGTGGACACGAGTCCCACTCTGCAGCGGTTTTCACATTCCAGAAGAAAATCTAGGCTTTTGTGCTGATTGTGTTGCTTTGCTCTGAGCAGTTACAGTATATTTGTAAATAGCCTACCTATTTTGTCCTCCCTCTTTAATCACTGTAATCATGTGAACATGGTGTCTGTCAGCTGTGCAGAGCAGCGACTGCAGGAACACCACCAGTTTACTGAGCTACAATGTCATGCAGGTCTGCCTCAGCTCTTTGTCATTTGATTCAGCTTCTCAACTGTGAACTCAGGTTGTAATTTAACAATCAAGCGAAATGACTGCTGATTGTTCATGTAATGGCTACAAAAAAAAGTGTCTTGACTTTTCTTTAGTAAACAAATCTGTCACTGACCAGATGCTGCATCTGCAGCGACCCTTGGTCTCACAGGTAATAATGGCCACATGCAGGTGAACAGGCGGCTGTGTGTTAGAAGTAGGCCCCTCTACAGTAGTTAATACAGGGGATTACCTTTGTTGTTTGCTTTTATTTGGGAACAAAACACTTGGAAAAGTCCCTTTAAAGGGTGAAGTCCTACCTGAGTCTGGATGCGGCTGAGGCCGCGACACCAAAGCACGCGGCCCCTCCTCAGCTCTATCTCACCGTGGTCAATCTCATCCTGGTCCTCCATCTCCTCCAGCTCATCCTCAGGGATCTCCTCCTGCTGTGTGCCGTGACCCGCTGTCTTCAGGAACTTAAGCCAACTGGTGGGGACGCTGGACACCAGCTGAGAGGACGACCAATACAGGTATTACAGTCAGACGACAGCTGCACCTCTTGCTGCACAACAGCTCTGTGATGAGAAATGTTACTGAGAGGTGGTGTGGCGACAAGTCTCTCAGTGGTGAGCAGCTGCATTCTTTCTATTGCTCCATGAAACTTTTGTTGCATGTCGCCCAAAAACTAAACTAAAATGTTTTCAGTTTTCATTGACTAACAAAATTCAAAAGGGTTAAAATTTTATTACAACTAATATGCATTTTCTTCAAAAGACTAAAACTAAATGAAATTTAGGCGCCAGAATGAACGCTGACATCTCCTTTGTCACCACACGTTTCCTATCTCACCTGTCCCCACAGGAGGGTGCCGAAGCCCAGGAAAAGACACCACAGCCACTGCTCAAAGGTCAGACCCACACAGCTGAATGGTTTACCGCCGAACTCCACAATGATGACCTAGAGGAGGCCACGGTGACATCATCATACAGGGGTTCCTTTACCACTTAGCACTGTGAACCTGAGCAGGTGTGATGCTGCTTCGCTCCTTACAACTGACCTGTGTGAGAAAGGTTCCCAGGACGATGGAGCAGAAGATGGGGTTCCTGTAGACGCCCTCAAACACGTTCCTCTCCCCATGAATCTTACGGGCATTGAGCTCATTGAAAATCTGCATGAGAACAAAGGTGTTGAACACAATGGTGTAGTGCTCAGTGGGAGGGGCGTGGATGGGGGTGTTCCTGCCGTTGTCGATATTAAACAGCGTCTCACCTGTGAGAGGGACAGAAGCCGA